CACTTCTTAGAATCACTTTCCCTGCCCCGAAGTGTTAATGTAGTACCTCTTGCCATGCACTTGAAAAAGTTACTACTGAGTCAGACACTGTTGGCTCTTGCTTATAATTCTAGTCCTCAAGAAGTTTGAGATCTGAGGGTTGAATTCAAAGCCAGACTAGGCAGACAGCTAGAAACTCTTTTCTTCAATTACTCAGCCAAAAGCAGAATTGTGGCTCAAATAGTAGAGCACCATGCCTTTTCAAGAAATTCAAGTAAAACATGAGGCCAGGAGGTTAAGCCTCAGTATCAACACACACACACACACACACACACACACACACACACACACACACACACACACACACACACACACACACACACACACACACACACACCACTATTTTCTTTATGGTAGCTTAAGTACAAAAATCCAAAATGCAGAGAAACCTTATGGTTCTATACTATACAGAGAAGAGAGAAAAAAAATGGTAGAAATTAAATGATTCTTCAATAAAGTAGCTATAACTTGGCACCTAGAAACTGGAATAAAATACACTCACTGAAGGCTTTGTCTATACTAGGCATTTTGTTGTGAGTATAATCCTCCCCCTTAATATTTTTTTAGGGGGTCCGGTCGTGGGCCTGAACTCTGGGTCTGGGCACTGTCCCTCAGCTCTTCAGCTCAAGGCTAGCGCTCTACCTCTTGAGCCACAGCGCCACTTCTGGCTTTTTTCTTTTTTCTTATGTGGTGCTGAGGAATCGAACCCAGGGCCTCATGAATGCAAGGCAAGTGCTCTACCACTGAGCCACCTTCCCAGCCCCCCCTTAACACTTTTATTAGCATATATTAGCTGTACAAGAGTTTCACTGTGACAATGTCTTATGAACCTTGTATTAAAATTGAGGCCTAGAAAGGTGAAATGATAACTTCAAAGCAATAAATTCAGTATGTGGCAGAAATGAGACACCAGATCAGATCTATCTTATTTTCAATAGAGAGGGTTCGGGCATGGCATTCAGATTACTGCTTTACTTTCTCTCCTTCAGCTTTACTGAAGTGTAAGTGAGAAACAGAAGAAACTATTTAACATACACAAGGTGTTCATTTCAGCCTTTGTGTATGTTATGTCTCTATCAGAGCTCAAATTCCATGGAGGAGGGGTTTTCAGTGTCCCATGTCTGCTACATGGCAGGTATTCACTAGATAACATCTTAGTAAATCTGACCCAATTTCTACATGTGGAGAATGAAGAATGTTATGCATGACACCTCTTCTCCCACTGTATAATTACACTTGTGTTTCAAATTAGGTAAAGAATTATAAATAAAGGGTCTACCAAATGCAGACTTCCAAAGTCATATAGTCCACTTTTGAGAGAGAAAAAAATGTGTCAATAAACAAAAATAAACAAAAAAGATAATAAGAATTCTAAAAGAATAAAAAGCCAATCACTTTCTTCACTGCCAAGGTTAAGATGAATCTGTGTTGTTCAATATTCGATCTTTCTTAGCACACAACAAACATTATTCTCTAATACCTGTTCTGAAGCAAATAAAGGATGAAAGCCACTATTTTAATACACCTTATTGCACATGGTATGATTTTAATGGCATAAGCATATCTAGATGACAGGTTTTAAACCATAAAGAATGGAACAAATCCATGCCAACATAATAAAAATCCATTTTTAAAGTCCACATCTCTCAGCCATCTTATGAACAAGGTTTAAGTCACTTCTTCCTATGCATTAAATGTACTTTGTAATATGATAATCCATTAGTCTATTCCTTTATTAAATATTTATTTAGCACCAATTATGTGCCAGTATTACTAAGGTCTGTAGCTATGAACAAAAAAGAATTCAAAATGCTTCTGTCATAGGGCTAATAGTCATGGGAAGAGAGGAAATAACAAATACAACAAATAGATGGCAGACTGTGATAAGTGCCAAGAAGAAAAACAATTCATGGAATGCAGTCAAGGGTGCAATTTATGACAGGATACTTCCTTATTGAGAAGGTAAAGTTGCACAAATACCTGGACCCGAGAGTGATCAGAAAGTTCAGAGAGACCCATCTGGAAGAGCTAAGAGCAATTGCAAAAGCCACAAGATAGCACTCCTGCTTTGTGTATGTGTAAAGCAGCAAAAGAAATCCGTAGCAAAGTGAATAAGGGGAAGTGTCATAGGAGATGTGGTAAAGTAATAACTGCAGGAGCATGCAAGTGTGGGATGGAAATGATTGTGCAGTATTATGAAGGTGATTCTCAGAACTTTGGCTTTTATGAGGGAGATAGAAAGCCATTGAAATGTTGAAGAGTGTGTGTGTGTGTGTGTGTGTGTGTGTGTGTGTGTGTGTGTGTGTGTGTGTGTGTGTGTGTGTATGTGTGTTTTAAGCTTTTCACTAATGTAGCCTAGGGATTTACTCTTTAGCTCAGGCTGTCCTCCAATGCATGATCTTCTTAGCTCTGCCTCCTGAGTGCTGGGATTACAGGTGTGCACCACCACACCTGGCAAGGGCAAAGAGATTTTTTTTTTTTTTTGGTTGGTCGTGGGGCCTGAACTCTGGGCCTGGGCACTATCCCTCAGCTGTTCAGCTCAAGGCTAGTGCTCTACCACTTGAGCCACAGCACCACTTCTGGCTTTTTTCTTTTTTCTTATGTGGTGCTGAGGAATTGAACCCGGGCCTCAGGCATGCAAGGCAAGCACTCTACCACTGATCCACCTTCCCAGCCCCCAAGGGCAAAGAGATTTTAAAACATCCTTGTAGATTATTGTTCTGAGAAATAATTACGGAGAGGAAGGTTCAAGAAATCATATGGATGTGAGGGGTATGGTGATGTGTTTAGTCAGACTTGGTTGCTATGACAGATACCAAAGATAGTTCAATGCAGATAGCTATATTTTGCCTCATGGTTTCAGAGGTTTCAGTTCTGTATCAGCTGGATCTACTGCTTTGTGACTGTGATGACGCAGACTATCATAGCAGGAGAAGTGCAAGGAAGAGGCTGCTTACCATATGGTGGCCAGGAAGCAGGGAAAGAAAGAGAAGGAGAATAAGGGGATCAGGAATAAGAGCTCCTTTAACAACACACTTCCAGTGCCCTATTTCTCTCAGTTCAGCCTCACTTCCTAAAGTTTTAGCACCTCTCCAAATAGTGCCATCAGCTGAGAACAACCTTAACAGGTGGCTTGGATATAATGTAGCAAGTAGACAAGCAGAGAGGTAACATGGTAACTAGGTTTCGATTGTATTTTCATGTTAGAACCAAGCATTGGCAGATGTAATGTGGGATATGAAAAAGAAGAATGAGAGATAGCAAACAGATGGGTGGATGAAATTACTATGGTAAAAGCAGAGTTGGGGGGGGGGGGGAAGAGGTACAGACTGAAAGAAATCCCAATAAAAATACTGGCAAAGCACTTTTTCTGGAGCTAGACGTTAATAATAAATTTTATATGGAAAAATAAGCATGGAAGAACAGCCTGCAAACCACAGAGAAACCATACTATGTATGAGAGAATCAATTTATACTAAAACATGCAACACATCTTCTATAATTCAAATAGTATGGTTTGATCATTTGAGCACAAAGTTGGACCAATGACCAAAATATTAAATCCTGAAATAGAATAAGTATATATTGAAATTAGGTATCCAGAAAGAGAACTTATTTTGCCAGAGTGAAGCGGAACTTTTTAGTGAAAGCCATGTGGAAAAATCAGATCCATAACTCAGACCATATTTAATAAACACCAACTGAATTAGTGAAGCTGATCAAGCTCACATTTTATTGGTCTAAAAACTGATTTTGCACCAGGTGCTGATGGCTTATGCCTGTAACCCTAGCTACTCAGGAAGCTGAGAGCTGAGGATTGTGGTTCAAGGCATGAAAGTCCATGAGATTCTTAGCTCCACTAAAGTACCAAGAAGTAGAGCTATGGTTCAAGTGGTAGAGTACTAGCCTTGAGCTTGCACTCAGGTACAGAGCCTAGGACCTGAGTTCCCAGAACTGGTACAAAATCAACAACAGATTTTGCTATGCTTTGTACACTGGAATCTAGCAATCAATCTAGTAATCACATATCTAACCATCTTTCCTTGAGCTCATTCATTCTTCCCAGGCTTGCAGAACATTTTTTAAAATCTTTTTTATAGCTTACATTAGTTATACAGAGGGGATTTCATTATGACATTTCCACTCATTTATAATATGTTCCAATAAATCTCTTTACCTAATAAAAGATCAAACTCCTCTTTAAAATTCTTTTACAGCTACTGCTTCTATGGAATATCTAATGTCCCTATAGCATATCAGACATCATTTATGTAGCATCTAATATTATTTTTATGGTACACAGAGTGGATCTTTATCTGTATTGTGTAAATGTTTTAAATTTAACTTATGCATAGATTAGATCTGCTCCCAATTTCCAACTGTGGAGAAGATCTATAAAATTGACACCCCTGCTTTGTGCCTTCTTATGCATTATCTCCAAAATAGCATGCTGTCTAGAGAAAGAAAGTTAAAGAGAAATATTGTCATGAAATGTAAAGGAAAATCTACTGGTCTTTCTTTTTGCATTAGAGAGGTGCACTATTTTTTAGGTGGGGCTCAAGCATTCTGAGCAAATATTTTAACATTTTAACACTCAGTTATACCCCTGGCCCAAGAGACATAAGACACATTAAAACACCATCAGTATCCATTAGCCTCTGCCTCTGTTTCTTTTTGATTCAGCATAGTAAAGTAATGATAATATTAACTTTCTAGCCCCAAGTCTTGTGTGAACTAGGTATTTTCCCCTTGCCATGATGGTAAATCTTAACTCACAAGTGTCCTATGGAATGGACCAATACACAGGGACATGAATCTGTGCCTCTCACACATTTCAGACTTCTTTACAAAAGTAATTTTTAACTGAGAGCAATGCACAAACTTTGAGAATGCAAGTTTCAGATAAGCATCAAAAAGGCAGGAAAATCTGTGAAAATGTTTTCAAGTGCTGATATACTTACTGTTTTTTCAATATTTTCAAAAGCTTCTCTGGCTTCTTCATATGTGCAGATTTCCTCTTTGCACTCTCGTTCAATGTTGCCCTGTCTGATTTCTTCAAAAAGGCCATTAGCTCTTGGGTAACGTTTTAAAACTGAATTGGCCCTTTCTCCTGTGAGGAAAACTAAAAAGAGATATAATAATAAGCATAAAACTGCAATAAAAATCCCATGTGATAAGTTAATATACAAGAAGAAAACTGCTAGATGCTCTTCAGAAAACACAGACAACATCCTAATCCTCTTGTCAGTTAAGTCAGAAGTGAAGCAACACTTAGCTCCAAACCAGGCATCTGCCAGCTTACTCATCATGTCACCATGTCCTCTCAGTCAAAGTTGCCCTAGGCAGGGGCAGTGACATACTTAACCATGTTATATTCAGACTTTACACATTCCTGCCTACCATGAATGTTTAAATATAGTAATAATGATAGCAATACTTATATTCACTACTGTAAGTGGATACCCCAAGGCATTCTGCTGTTGGACAGCAACAACCAAATCAAATCAAAATCCAGTCTCTAGACTGCAGAGACAGTCTTTGTCTCTCCAGCTAAAAATAAGTAAAACTCCAATTGACCTTATGAAAAAAGATGACAAAATAATAACGACAAGCTAAATTTGATCATAATTCATTTCAAGGGAATATTCATAGCAGTTATGTTCTAAATGAACTCAAGTTAAATATAATGTGGTAGCATTTTAACATACCTCAACTCATTTCATTATCATTAAGGAAAAAAAAATCCTCTTCCAGGATTTTTGGGCACTGCATATAAGCATTCAAAATGTACTCATGATACTCAGTAAAATACATTAAGCAGTAGTCCTATTTGACGCTACCCTGGGCTCCATAGAGAGACACTATCTCTAAACAAGAACAAAAATAACAAAAATAGGCATTTTTTTTGCTCATAAGGAATTTGTTTTATTTTCATATTCAACTACATTTTAAGCTCTATTTTATGTTTTCTATAAAAAGTGTTTTGCTTGTTTGAAGTCATAAATGTAATGCCACCAAAATCTTTGCTAGTGTAAGAATATTAGGCAATTCCCGAATTTTGTAAAATAGTAACATGTGAGAAGCTGTATTATGTATCTTCCAAGATAGTAAAAAAAACCACTCTATTTTACAAAACATATTCTGAAGTAAATGAAATAACAGTAATTTCTGGTTAAAATTAATATATATTTTAATTTTATTTTATTGTAAAGATGCTGTACAGAGGGAGTACAGTTACATCAATACGGTAATGAGTGCATTTCTTTTTTTTATTCTTTTTTTTGGGGGGGGGATCTGGTCGTGGGGCCTCAACTCGGCCTGGGCGCTGTCCCTCAGCTCTTCAGCTCAAGGCTACCACCTACCACTTGAGCCACAGCGTCACTTCCGGCTTTTTTCTTTTTGCTTATGTGGTGCTGAGGAATCGAACCCAGGGCCTCATGCATGCAAGGCAAGCGCTCTACCACTAAGCCACCTTCCCAGCCCCATGAGTACATTTCTTATCCAGCACTGTTGCCCCCTCCTTTGTTTTTCTCCTATCCCTTCCCTCCCCCACCTTCCCCACTCCTCCCACCCTGCCCCAAGTTGTAAAGTTCATTTCCAACATAGTGTCTTGTGAGTATTATTGTTGCAGTGTGTCATCCTATGTCATTATTTCAAAATTATTATATTAATGAACTCATTTAAATGTGTATTTAATTTTATAGAAGATAAACATTTATTCATAACTCTTTAAAGTATCCAAATTTATACCAGCTAGTTAAATTATCTACACTAGGTTGAAAATTACATATGGTTGGCCTTCCATAAGTATTTCTTCCTTTCTATACATCATGGGAGAAATCATCTATAAAAGGAATCATTGAGTCATACAGTATCATTAGAAGAAACCTTAAAAATACAACGTATGGCCAGACACTGGTGGCTCACATTGTCATACTATCTACACAAGACGCTGAGATTTGAGGACTGAGGTTCAGAGCCAGCTTGGGCAGGAAAGGCTATGAGATCTTATCTCCAATTAACTACCAAAAAAGCCCAATGTGGAGCTGTAGCTCAAGTGGTAGAACATTAGTTTTGAGCAAAACAAACAACAACAACAACAACAAAATCTTAGGGCTAGTACTGAGTTCAAGCTTGGTCCCTGAGTTCAAGTCCCAAGACTAGCAAAAAAATAAAAATACAAATTATGAGTCAGGTGCTGGGGCTCATGGTAGTAATCCTAGCTAGTCTGAAGGCTGAGATCACAGGATAGATCTTGGCTCAAAGCCAGCTCAGCAGGTGTCTTATGTCTAATTAATCACCCCAAATCAATAAAAACCAGTGGAGATCAAGTAGTAGAGTACCTGCCTAGACCGTGAAAGTTCAGGGATAGCACCAGGCCCTGAATTCAAGTCTCAGGATGAGCACAAAAAAATACAAATTATGGTAATTTTTTTCTTGTTTTTCTTTATTGTCTCTCATGGGGCTTGAACTCTGGGCTTGGGTGCTGACCCTTAGCTCTTTAGTTCAAGGATAGCACTCTACCACTTGAGCCACAGTGCCACTTCTGGTTTTCTGGTGGCTTATTGTAGATTAGAGTCTAACAAATTTTCCTGTGGGAGCTGGCTTTGAACCATGATCCTCCGATCTCAACCTCCTGAGTAGCTGGGATTACAGGCATGAGCCACAGGCGCCTGGCTCAAATTATGGTAAATTTTATAAAAGAAATCAACAGGATTGGTTGCATATCTTACCTTTGGTAAACAATGCTGCAATAAACATAGTTATGCTAGTAGCTTTAGTATGGTCTTGTTTGTGATCATTCAGGTAAATGCCCAAAAGAGGGATTGCTGGGTCATAGGGGAGCTCTATGTGGAGTCTTTTGAGGAACCTCCATATTTCATTCCAAAGTGGTTGAACAAGTTTACACTCCCACCAATAATGCAGTAAGGTTCCCTTCTGTCCATATCGCCTCCAGCATCTGTTGTTATTAGAGTTCTTGATTATAGCCATTCTAACTGGGGTGAGGTGGTATCTCAATGTTTTGATTTGCATTTCTTTTATGGCTAGGGAGGTTGAGCATTTCTTCATGTGTCTATTGGCCATTCTTATTTCCTCTTCAGATGCCCCTCAGTAGATGAATGGATCAAGAAAATGTGGTATATATACACAATGGAATTCTATGCCTCCATCAGAAAGAATGACATTGCCCCATTTGTTAAGAAATGGAAAGACTTGGAAAAAATTATATTAAGTGAAGTAAGCCAGGCACAAAGAAACATAGGTCCCATGGTTTCCCTTATTTGCAATAAGTAGTATATATCTGAGATAAGCAGAAAAGGTCAGATAAGATGATAAGTGAAATGAACCCTAAGATAAGCACACAAGTGGTTTTTTTTCTTTCTTGCTATTGTTTCTAACGTATTTATAAGGTACCACGTGATTTTTTTGTTGTTGCTTTGTATGTCCCTCCCGCACAGTATAACCCATTTTCACTGTATTTGATGTTAGTAAAATTTGGGGAGTGGGAGGGAAAAAACAAATTGTTTAAATAAGGATACAGGTTGACCCATTGCAACAATGAGATGTACAAGATGCTATGTTGAAAAATGAACTTTACAATTTAGGCAGGGAGGGTGGGGAAAGGGGAAATGTAGTTGTGGAGATGGGAGGGAAGGGATGGTAGGAGAAAAACAAAAGAGGAGGCAACAATGCTTGATAAGAAATGTACTCATTACCTTGCTCATGTAATCGTAACCCCTCTGTACACAGTATTTTCACAATAAAAAACTTATTGAAAAAGAAATCAACAGGAATATAATGAGCTGCAGAATATCAGTGGAACTTATTAGGAGTGATCTTCACATCTTAGCAGTGTCAAGAATTCTTAAAGACTCATTGTTAAACAGATTATTGGTATTCATTCCCATTTTCTAGTTCTATTGGTCTAGACCAGGTACAGGGCCAAGAAATTGCATTCATAATCAGTTTTCAGTGCTTATCCTAATGCCAGTTCCTTTGAAAATGAGTTTAGAAGTAGGAGTTTATGGAAAGCATAGGTAATTTAGAGACATCTTTTGGTATATGATTTTAATACCTATATATACTTGTGAATTTCCTGAAAAGGAACAAGGTACACATATTTTTTATATTTATTTCCAGGAACCACTTTACTGAATTACAACTTTGCAGCTTTTAGTGTTCACAATTTTTCTGGTGATGGCACTCTGGTTTAAATTCAGGCCTTTCATTTGCTATGCTGGCACTCTACCTGTTAAGCCGTGGCTCCAGTCCTTCTTGTTTTAGTTATTTTTCAAATGGGCTGCTACATTTATGCCCAAGCTAGTCTGGACCTCGATACCTCGATACTCTTATTTATGCTCCTCATGTATTAGGATGATAGGTGCATACTACTGTGCCCTGTTTTTGTGTGTGTGTGTGTTGAGATGCAATATTGTGAACTTTTTGCCTCAGCTGGCTTTGAATCATGATCCCCCAATCTCTTTTTTCTCTATAATTAAAGGCATTAGTGAACTCATCCAGCCCCTTAGTCTTATTTATATCCTCTAAAATGACACAGATATAAACCAACTAACATGAAAAAAGATAGCAACCTATTTTCCTTGGAGAGTCTTTTTTCCAACATAAACAGCTTCTCTTTCTTTATTCATTTGTCATATAAAGTAGATGTTATTTTCTGCATCATCTTTCTCTTATAAAATAGTGTCTTTTACTGAGTGCAAATCTCATTGTGTGCTCTGAATAGTACAAACTTGATCAGAATTATTAGCTTCCTTGTTTTTAAACACAATGCATATGCTAATGTAGTCTACGATAGTCTTGAGTTTTGGATCTGTTTTGCTAAGCATAAATAAAATTATCAACAATAATGTATTTTGAATTTTTTGTATTGGTACTGGTGTTTGAACTCTGGGTCTGGGCATTGTCTTTGAGCTGTTTTGCTCAAGGCTAGTGCTCTACCACTTGAGCCACAGCTCCACTTCAGACTTTTTTGGGAGTTACTTGGACATGAGTATCCTGGCCTTTCCTACCTGGGCTAACTTTGAACCATGATTCTTAATTCTCAGCCTCCTGAGTACCTAGGATTACAGGCACGAGCCACCAGTTCTAGGTTGTATTTTG